TGGGCGGAGGAGGGCGGAGCGGAGGCGGGCGGAAATTGCGAAGATGGGATGTGGGTATCGCGTGTATGTATACACATGTGTGTGTGTGTGTGTGTGTGTGTGTGTGTGGAGGGGTGTAAATGGTCTTGATGGATGGGTTATGGACATCGGATGAGGATACTGGTGGTGTATAGTAGAGGCAAGTTGGTTACGTAGTAGATGAACAAAAAAAGGCAAATTCCGCATGTTTGAATCGAGATTGGTAGATTGCGGAGTATCAACAAAGTACCACCGTACAGGCCTTGTAGGGCCAGAAAATGCCAAGGTTCTGTTGTTTGCTGACAATCTCATTTTTTTTCTTTTGAACCTGGGAGCTGGGATTCTCTGCAAGTATAAGCAGTCGGGCCGTTGGGCAAGGGTTGTTTTTCTCGATTGAATCTCTTTGGGAGACTTGAAGGGGGGGATGCGAAAATCTATTTTCCGTGGTTGGGTTTTTTGGATTTTTTTTAATGAATGAGGTATAGATAGGATGATGATGCGTTTGTAACTTCAAGTGTTCACGGTAGTATAAATCCTACAGATAATGCGCATACATATACTTGGAGGATTGGAAGTGAGTACGTACATAGTACTATCCATCCATCTATCAATTGCCACATTTCGAACCCTTGCAAGCCCACCTCCACTTACTCGCGCACCCAAGTGCACAAACATCCCTCATTCTCTCTTGATCGACAGTCCGTGGTTGCCCTGCATGCCATGTGCAATCTTGCACATTCCCCTTTTCTGTAATATCCCGGTTGTCCCATTCGGCACGATTACCCAAGGCGATTCCCCTTTTCGGGGCCTGGGTCTGTGACTGAATAGGATAGTGCGGGGTGCATGATGGACCGATGTGGATAGTGAGGCGCAAAGAAAAGGAGTTCGCGGGCGCTTGTGTATGTAAGATCTACTTAGGGTAGGGGGGGGTAGGGGGGTTAGTGGCTTAGTTTACTTTGTGGTGGCTTGGGAGGGGGAGGGGTTGGGTATAGGGGGATGCGATGGGCAGATTTTCATGGTCGGATTTTTCAGCGGTGCAATTGTAAGTGGCTCGGTGAGTATTCCGAAGAGAGAGACGCCGCGTGGAGGGGTGGTAAGTGTGGAGTTGTCAAGGTTGATCTTGTGTTGGGATAGAGCTGGACTATTTTATACGAGGGTACTATGCTGTGCACTGACTTTAGCGTACTATCTTCCGCTTGGACTTGGCTTTGGACTGAACACACCATGCCGCCCGTGAGACATGGAAGAGCTTCCGTTGAACTTGATAAGATTACTCCTGTATTGAAAACGAATAAAGAATTGTAGTCTTGATCGTGATTGAACAGTACTGGGGGTCGTTAGTGCACCTGACAAGCTCATATCCATCATGTATTACCCATGTCGAACCACGAACCATTCTTCTTGTTTCCTTGATCATATTAATACAATGGATTGACATGAAATGCGAGTATGCTCTCGTAGCCTTGGTAGTATCATCCACATACGCTATTTACCGGAGTGTTCACCAATCCTTTCAATATCAGCAGCAGTCTTCTGTGTCCATACCCCTGAGAACGCTCAAAGAGTGTGAAACGAGCACACAAAGACTTTCTAGGCTACAGGAGAAAAAGGGTACCAAAGTTTGTATCTCGTACATCATCCTTCGCAGTCTCCCGTATCTGGGCACGTGTAAACCATCTACGGATTTACCTTATGCTGTGAATTCAGTATTTGATAGTCGGATATTGGACCGCACTAATGATGAGGAGTGGTTATTCTTGTGAAGACACTGATTCTGTACCGTCCTATATCTCACATCTATAATAGTTGAAAGACACTAGGACTGCTATGTAGACTTATATAAGCACATAAATGAAAGTGGGAATAGTATGGTAATGTGCTGTGCTTGTACGATTCAAGAGCAATGTGCACACTTTTGTTTAAACACTGGATTTCATAAACACCACGCAGTCTTGGTGAAGATGAGTCTTAATATAAGGAAATCAGCCTGAGTTGAAATAATCCTCCTTAGGATGGCATTACCATTCTACCAAACATCCCGCTCTTACATATGCCAAGTAGTTTTCTTGAACACGAGGATTCAAAATCAAGTATAATAACGCGTGGAGTCGAGCATAAAACGCTCTTGTAACGGAAAGGAAACAGCAGAAGAAGAAGAAGAAGAAGAAGAGTTATGCAATGATTTCATACCAACTTAGTTTCCGGATAAAGGCGAGTATGTATGTAAACATCTTTATGTTTTGCATGGATACCCTCAAGTCCAAACCTAACCCCACATTCGGATGATTTACTACAGCATATTCCCAGCAAATATCCCTGTGAAAATCAACGGGATGAAGCATTCAATCTCCAAATCTAAATCAAGGCTGCTTAGCCAACGTCTGTTTGATTGAAGGTCCTTGAAATGACCTTGCCCGACAGCCGATATGGCTTGGAAACGACGGGTGGATATAACCAGGATAAAATGCTGTCTGTTAGACCGGCTCTTAGGCATGACCTGACACTTCCTATAATCGTCTGACGGGTGCGTGCGACAGATATAGTGACCAACGGAAATTTGCCATGACTATATATACCAAACTTTCCAAATGGAACAGATTTGAGATATATTGACGTGTTCAGATGACAGGTGGAGTTGAGGGATAGGATGATGCTTACTACTGCATTTGAAACAATCAAGGACGTTTGGCGAGGACGGTAAGTCAAGCATGCGGGCTGCACAAACCCCCACGAAATTAATAAGGCTGAAATCAAAACATACTTGGACATCTGTCCACTCTGCTGTAGTGTTTTGCATTGTGGATTAGCGTATCGATTAGGCAGATTTTGATCAGGCCAGCCGTGTTGCGGACACTGAGACATGTGTCCTTGATTTGGATGGTTATCCGGAAGGCTGACAATGCGAACGCCCTGCTGCGACAATCTTTTGGCGGCGTTGTTGCAACATGGAGTACAGTTTCGAGCGGGCTGTTATTCTCGGACGCCCTTGTGCATCTAGGTAGTAGTGGGGCCAAGAGGTAATGTTTCGTCGGCCGCGGTGAGGTAGTGGGTAGCGGTGCAAGAGTCCTATGAGGGCCTGGCAGCGTGGCCAGCCCAGGTAGAAGCGTCGCAAGTCGACGGTGGAGCGTGGACGGACAGCCAGTCACAAGGCCGCATCGCGCAGTCAGGCGTGATGATGCTGCAGCAGCGGCGACATGGGGCCAAGTGGGTGGTGGGAGAGCAATGTGTTCGGTCGGACAGGTCCAAAAATAGAAGCGAATTAGTAGTATGCTCCGCTGCCTTAAGTCAACAAAATGTCCCCGAAGCAGCCAGGTCTGACCCGCCAAAAGCACATCAAGGACCGCAAATTATCACCATCAACCCGGCCCCTCCCCACGACGCGACCTGACAGCGCGCATCGACGGATTGGCTTGCGCTGCATCGCTCTCGCGTCGCGACAAAGAAGAAGGAATAATCCGAGTAATTGCACGGCGACGGCGACGGCGACGGCGACGGCGACGGCGCTGGGCGCTTTGCATCCTATCCCTGGCCTGGTTCGCGCTGCGTTTGCAGGCCCTATTGCGACAGCAGCCGCTCCATCCTTCCGCCCTCTTCTCTCCGTCAAGCCAGCCCAGCCAGCAAAGAGGGAACCCGTGGTCCAGAAGAAACAAACTGTCGCGCGCGCTCCCCGGGGCCTATCCATGGCCTATTGCTCACATTAGCGCGGTCGCGACTCATCACTGCGCCCTCATGGCATGCTGATCGGCAGCGGGAGCAGCTGAGAGAGAGAGAGAGAGCGTTACATCGCGGAGAACCCAAAGAACCATGCACGTCGACTTTGGCGAGGAGGGACAGACGGACCATTCCCTCCTGACAGCCAACGGCCATTCCCACGCCCACGCCCATACCCACACCCACTACGACCACCCAGGCCCCGGCAGCGGGCCGTCCTACTCGCCCTTCCGGCATTCAGGCGGCGGCAGCGGTGGCGGCAGCGGCAGCGGCAGCGGCAGCGGCAGCAGTGGAGGCAGTGGCAGCAGTGGTGGTGTCGCAGCGATTGACCCGGGGCTGGATCAGAGCACAGGTGCCAGCCGCAATGTGCACACGCCATCAGGCCATCTACTTCAGCCTGACAATACCGGACATCTCGCCCACGGCTTCTATGGCGACATGCGCAGCTCCCAGACTCCCCCGGCCTCTGCGAATGCCTCGCCGCGCTTCTCCGCCATCTCACCCACCAGTCAGCCGCGCCTGGGTACTGCCCACTTCGAGCCCGCCGACCGCGACCCGCCCCCGCGCGACGTATCCGACGACACCATTGACAATGCCTACGCCGCCTTCATCCTCTACTGCAACCCAAACTTCCCTACCACCACCGACACCACCGAGCTGGTCAAACTGTTCCGCACGCCGCCCAAGAGCGACGGTAATGCCTTTAGTACATGGGCCCTCTTTGAGTTGATCCGCAAGTTTGACGCAAAAGAAATAAAGACCTGGACACAGCTGGCTCTAGATCTGGGCGTGAAGCCGCCAAACACGGATGAAGGACAGAGCACCCAAAAAGTGCAGCAGTACTCTGTGCGCCTGAAGCGATGGATGCGCGCTATGCACATTGATGCCTTTTTTGAATACCTCCTGGGCAAGCAGCATCCCTACTATTTACAGATACCACCTCCCCACCAGCCGTTTCCAAGCCAGGGGCGTGATGGCGTGCCTCTCGAGGAAGACCTGGCCATCAGGGCTCTTGATCCAAAGTTCAAGCCCAAGCGCGGGCGCCGAAAGGCTGATGACGGAGAAGAGGACATAGACTTTGACGAAGGCACTCCAGCTCGTAAACGACCCCAGCTAGATACAAATGTGGCGTTTGGCAATGTGTTGCAGCCGCAATCCGCATACCCTACTAGCGCGCATCCAAACAACATGCATGGAGGTTTTCTGACACCGCAAGATCCATGGACTGCAGTCTCTACCGTCACTCCATCTTCTGCCAACACTGCAGCCTCGGCTCCAAGTCGTCTGGGCCAGAGTGGGCTTACTCCTTACACGGAATCACCAATGGGCGGACATCATGCACGATGGCGCGTAAATACACAGGATGCGCCTCATACACCACATCCGCTTTCTGCTGTCACTCCACAGTCTGCATATCCGTTTTTTGACGAACCACAATCTGCTGTCACGCCCTCCAGTACCAGATCACGCTCCCGCCGGCGCCATGGACCTGCTGTATCGTCGGCTTGGTCATCCAACAGCGGAACCGCCACTGGCAAACTTCGCGGTCGGCCGCCTAGTAATCGTTCTATCAGAGACGGGCCTTTTGTGACTTTTCCAGCAAATCCAAAAACGAAAGAAGGGCCGCCCATTGATCGCAATCCAGTCAACTTGACACCAATTGTCGAGCGGGCGCATTCAGACCCACCAGCTCCAGAGGGCTCCGTTCGTTTCCCACCCACACCGGCGTCTGCCGTTTCTCCCTCAAAAATCGAGGGACCGGCTGCAGGAGGTGCGCCACAGAAGCAACGGCTGAGTCTCCAAGTACCTCCCAATGTTGGTAATCCAGTAGTACGCCTAACGACGCCAACTGTGCTTGTAAACGGATTACAAAACGACTCCCCAAGCACTGGACTAGGACCATCCCCGATAAGCGCCGCATCCACCCAAGTCTCGCCTGCAAACGCCTACGAGCAACAAAGCATGTACGAGAAGCAACACCGGCCAACCCATCAGACGTACCACGGAAACCTCACCCCATCCGAGACGCCTGCGCAACCGCGACCACCGCCACCAACTCACTCACAACCAGAACCCGAACTCCCCTCCTCAACATCACCACAGTTGCCCTCAGCAGTCCCCCTCGAGACGCTGAACCGCGCGCTAGCAGCAGAACTAATACGCGCCCCATTAACCGGGCGGCGCAAGCGCCTACGAGGCAACGAAGCCAAGCGCCTCGCCTCTGCAATCCTACAGCCCCTCCACGCCAAGCCACCACCTACTTCCCTTGCCCCCACAAAACTCATGAGCGACTACGCCCTCGGCATCGCTATCAGCAGCTGTCTCGGCCTCGCCTCTACCGTCGGTATCGGCGCCGGTGGTCCCACCGGCGGCGTGCGTCGCGTCGAGTGCGTGCGGTTTCGCGTGGGCGGCGATGGATACGAATCCCCTGTTGACGAGGACGAAGATGATGACGAGACGGAATCTTCTGCTGCGAGACACGGTGCCCGCAGTATCAAAGAAACGTTTGACGTCTTTTTCAATGTCGCGTTTGGCGGCCTGACGGGCGAGTGGGTTGCCAAAGGCCTCGACATGTCGGCTGCTACTGATCCAGAAGATGAGGCCCAGGCCACCCGGGATCCGCATGCTCCCGCGGATGCCAATGCGGACAGTTGGAAGAGTAGGTATCTTGATGCGCGGAGTCAGCTTTGGCAGAGTAGGGAGGAGGTCGGCAGGCTGAAGGATAGGATTCTTGAGGCTGTCTTGTGAGGGTGTCCTCTTTCCCTCCTGATTTTTTTGATTTGTTAATTTTTTTTCATCTCAAGGTGAATTTGTAAAAGACATGTTTGGCGTATATAGGGTAGGGATGGGTTGGATTGGGTGGTTGGGATTTGTTATATACCCCAGTGTTGTTGTTGTTGTTGTTGACGTCATTGTCGTTGTTGGGACCATTTCGGGTTTGTACTCTTTCTAGATGAAAGGGGATTATTTATTATAGTCTTGCTGCATGTAGATAGTTTTAGTATACGAAGTTCGTTCATGTTTGTTTTTTTGACTACGCGTGCGTTGGGATTGAGGTGGTCATTGGTTGAGATGGTGCTTTATTTTTCCGTAGATGGTATTGGATATGGTGGGTTTGGAAGATAATTTTCCTCAATTTCAGCACCGTATATTTGCTTCAGTCAATTGTCTGCAAACCATCCTCTCTATATCTCTATTCTCAAGTCGTCTTCGAGCAGTGAAATGAATTCATGGACCAGAAACCAAAACACCCAATTAAACACTACCCGCTTCTTTGGCAGCTTCGACAGGAACCTCGTCCTTTTCCCACGGCTTCTTCCGCTTGGGTTTCGTCGCTTGCGTCCCTTGTCCTTCTAGCACTGTAGGTGGAATCTCCTTGATACCTGGTACTGGCTTTCCGCTTGTGATCAATTCGACTATATGCGCGAAGCTGGTGGGATAAGGCGCGGGTGGTTCGGTTGCCGTTGGAGGCGAGGGGAGGATGCCACTAGGTTCGGTGGTTGTAGCGGGGGTAGTAGTGCTTGTGGTGGTAGAGGGCAGCTCTCGGTCTATGACAGAGGTTGCGAGTACATTGGTTGAGCTGGGAGGTGAAGGAGCTGGCCGGTTGCGGGCATTACGATAGGCTTTATAGGCGTCAAAGTCGATGTTTTTGTTGTATTTCCTACGTAATACGAGTCAGTATGATTTGACAGAACCATCCAACATGGTTCGCGTGGGTTACGGATGCTATGCTTTTACGTACCTTGCGTAATAAAAACACCGCGCCCGTAATGCTAGCTCAGTTGTTTGTTCTGGCGTACTGTTGCTGCCTATAATAGCTTGCAACCCAGCCTGAAACTCCACATCGTCGTCCCAGTTATACCGCTCTAGCGCTTCGTAGACGTCGTCTAGTCCATCCGTGGTGACGCTCATGGCTCAATCTCACCCGTTACCCTGTATAAAGAATAGTCAAAAACGAAAGACTCGGCGACCTCGAGGGTCATGTGATTCGCTGGGTCATGGATCAACGCGCATGAACCTGTAAGCCCAGACAGTGTACGTCGTGAACGTGGTACATGAGGCAGTGTGGGGTAAAGGTTGGCCGGCAGGAGGCTCAAGCTCCCAGGCTACGCCTCGCTAAACATGCGCCAAGTTTCTCTCAGCTTCGTCCCACGACCAACCTCTCTCCAACCTTCCCTCACTTCCCCCCCATCAACTTTACGACTTTCCCAAATTCTACCAGCCCTTTCTTTTCTCCTTGAGCTTCCATTCCTTTCATACCCGTTTTGATACCCACCTTACACAGCCATGTCCGAGTTCATCGGGTAAGTCGCGGCTGCGCTGAATACCGCTCAAGCTCCAACTGACCCGCGACGCGCAGATCTCGCATTTCCCTCATCTCGAAAAGCGACATTCGGTCAGTACCCAGTTGATGCTGGGTTATTGCAGCCATTGACTCGCCATAGCTATGTCGGCACGCTCGTCGAGATCAACTCAGAAGCTTCCACAGTCTCACTAGACAATGTGCGATCCTTTGGCACAGAAGGCCGCAAGGGTGGCAAGGACGAGTACCCTCCATCAGACGTCGTGTATGAGCAGATTGTCTTCCGTGGTAGCGATGTCAAGGACTTGCGCATTGAGGAGCCGGTCAAGGAAAAGGCGCAGCCTGCCATGCCACAGGACCCCGCCATCATCGGAGTAAGTCTATGTCACTTCTTTTCTTCTTCTTGTCCGGTGATGTAAAATTTTCGGATGTAAATCATTAAACCACCGAGAGCGCAAAACCGTGTGGATATTTTCCGTTGCCTTCCTTCTGAGACCCTTACATACAAGCTGTTTCTTGTTCAATCACTTTGAAGCTAAAGCTGACGCGACGCATGCGCCACAGGTACAACAGGCTCAGACACGGCAAGAAAGCAGCCCGCAAGACGTGTCCGGTCGCCAACAGCCACCGCAGAACTTCCCTCAGCCTGGTCAGTTCCCTCCTGGTGGCTATCCACCTTTTGGCGGTCCTGGAGGTCCATATGGCAATCGGTTTGGTCCTCAGGGTGGGTTCCCTGGCGGCCCAGGTCCTTTCCCTCCTGGTGGACCTCCAGGCGCGTTTGGTATGCCTCCGTTTGGCGCCCCTCCTGGATGGTTCCCGCCTGGTCAGGGCTTCCACCAGCCCCCCGGTCCGTTCTCACCGAACATGCCCATTGGCCCTCCAGGCCTAAACCAAAACCAACCTCCACAAGGCCCGCGAGGTCCAGGACCTCAAGCTGGCAAAGATGAGAAATCTGGCCAAGCGCAACAGCCCAAGGTTGCAGAGGCAGACGGTGCATCGGCCAAACCAAAGAACGGTGCAAAGGGTTCTGGTGCTACTCCCACGCCTGCTGGCGCGAAACAGGCTCCGCCGCCGCCAGTTGATTCTAAGCCTGACGTATCGGCTGCTTTGGCACCACCCCATCCTCAGAACACTCAGCAGCCTGCCTCAGGGAAGGGTGCACCTAGTGGGCCGAAGGGAGGGCGGATTATCCCTGCTGTCCCCATTCCAAGCCCGAGGGCTAGCAAGACGGCACCCCACGGGCAGCAACAGGCTGCTGCCGCTGTTGCCACTGTTCAAGTTCCTAGCGCTGCCCAACAACAGAATGCTACGCAGTTGGCTACTGCCGCTGTGGCCGAGGCTATGGCGAAGCTCAACATTCAGAACAAGGGTCAAGGTCAGAGCCAGCCTCAAGGCCAAGCGCCTGCTTCGGATCCTATGAACAACTTGGCACAGAAGGTTGAGGGCATGCGTGATCAGAGTCGCCAGCATGCGCCACGTCAACGAGGTACTGGCGAGTTCCGTGGCAGGGGTGGAAGGGGAGGCCGAGGTGGTCTTCACTCACAACATCCCAAGATGGAGGTCCCTACGACTGACTTTGATTTTGAATCGGCAAATGCCAAATTCAATAAGCAGGATTTGATCAAAGAGGCTATTGCTTCTGGATCGCCCCTTGGTGAAGGCGCGGCTTCCACAGCGGATACATCTGCCAACAGGGAAGAGGTCGTTATCCCAAGCGGGTCAATGTATGACAAGAGCTCTTTCTTCGACAACATCTCGAGCGAGCTCAAGGACAGAGAAGAAGCAGCCACACGTGGTCAAGAGTTCCGCAGCCAAGAACGTCAGAAGAATATGGAAACCTTTGGCCAAGGCAGTGTTGATGGTTACCGAGGTCGGGGACGTGGACGCGGACGCGGGCGTGGTGGTCGTGGCTCCGGCTACCGCGGACGTGGTGCTCCCCGTGGTCGTGGCGGTGCTGATCTCGGTGTCCAGCCTGCTGCTTAGCTGGCGAGCCCCATACTTTCTACTCCACAGTGCAGTCAGGGTTGCTTTGTGTAATTCAGCAAGTGCACTGTGCATTCAGTCTTGTTTAGTTGAGCGATCTGAGCGTGGCGAGTATCTTCTCTTTTTTGCTCTCAGCCCTATGGGCTCTGCTTCTGATCGACTGGAGCGGCGTACTTTTCTCCGCATGTATTTATATATCTAGGGTTGCGATATGGAACCGGGACCAAAAGCCGGGCGGCTTGGATGGTGTGGCAAGCGTGAGGGTATATGTGATACGATTGCGAATAACGATCATGAGTATCTGTCCAATGCACGTTCTTCCTGATCACTCTGTGTTTACTACTCATTCTTTGGGGCCGCTCTTATCTGTAGTATATGTTGGTAATTGCTTGCTTGTGTGCTTTTGTATCTCATCGCTCTGGGATACAATTATCTTCCTACATGTGCAAAGGCTAAGCATGCTTATTCGTCGCCAAGTTCATTTGGCTGCACTGAGGAAAGTGATTTCACTCTCAAGTGCTGTTCCAAGTCGCGTCGCCGGTGAACAGACATCTCCAGTCAGCCTTGTCGCCTAAATCAACTCCTGCTGCAGCCCATGGCAGCACCTGCCCCGCGATTGGTATTGACCAGCCAACCAGGTTAGTCTCTCTGCACTGCCCCCTAACTTCAGCTTGTTTACTTGCCAGCAACCTCAAGGACGACCGGAGGCCTTTCATCTATCGTCACTCACCAGTCCTCGACATCAACATTTGTTCTCTTGTTCTTTGCATCACACAGCATTGCATCTACGATGCGTCTCTTGGAGGTTCAGAGTGACGGTAGTTTCAGCCTTGTCGGACCTCAACGTAGCGATATTTCGCCCTACGCCATTCTTTCACACACTTGGGGTGCAGACCATGACGAAGTCACATATCAGGACCTGTACAATGGTACCGGGAAAGAGAAACATGGATACAACAAAATCAGTTTTTGCAAGGAACAAACTACAAAAGACGGCCTTTGCCATTTCTGGATCGATACCTGCTGCATCAACAAGTCCAGCGAGCCAGAGCTTTCGGAAGCAATCAGATCCATGTTCAAGTGGTACCGTAACGCATCGAAATGCTACGTTTACCTCTCCGATGTGTCTAGTACAGATTGTGACCAAGAAAGCGTACCGTTCTCGGAAAGCAGATGGTTCACGCGAGGATGGACGTTGCAAGAGCTTCTTGCTCCATCATGCGTCCAATTCTTCTCCAAAGAGGGTGTCTTGCTGGGCGACAAGCATTCACTTGCAAAGGAAATCTCCGAGATAACACGAATACCAGTCGAAGCTCTTCAAGGACATGATCTCTCCAAATTCAGCGTCGAGGAACGTATGCGATGGGCTGAAGAAAGAAAGACAACACGTGAGGAAGATCAAATTTACTCACTGTTAGGAATTTTCAATATACACATTCCTATAATGTACGGCGAAGGCGAAGGTCATGCACGGAAGAGAATGAGGGAAGTAATAGAGGCCAGCACCGTGGCTAGAGACGCGAAATTAAGCCAGATAGAACGCTGGTTATCGGCGCCGGATCCTTCAGTAAATTACCAGAAAGCGCTGAAGCTGCGACAGCATAACACTGGTCGGTGGCTGCTCGATGGAGAGCGTTACGAGACCTGGAAAATTGAGACCGCGTCATGCATATGGCTATACGGTATTCCAGGTTGCGGTAAAACTCTTCTGAGTTCCACTATTCTGGAAGACGTTTTTCGGTATTGTGACGAGCATCCCGGATATGCTGTTGCCTACTTTTACTTCGACTTTAACGACATACAAAAACAAAATGCCGAGCGGATGCTACGATCGTTGGTCGTACAACTGTTACAAAAGTCTGTTGACATACCTTCGAGTCTCGATGCTCTTTTTTCCTCGCATGACAATGGGAAACGACCACCAGCTCTCGATAGCCTGTTGAAGGTAGCACGCGATTTGATAGAGCATTTTCCACAAGTATATATCGTTCTGGATGCATTGGATGAGTGCAACCAATGGTCTGAGTTGATGGAAATGCTTGAAACTATAGCTAGCTGGGAAATTCCGAATCTGCATCTCATCATGACAAGTCGGGCGGAGCCAGATATCAAGAGCACTTTAACTAGTTTTGTGGACCCGCAGAACAGTATCTGCCTTCAAAGCAACATAGTTGACAGAGATATCCAGCTGTACATCCGCCAACGGCTTTCTGACGACAAGGACTTGGCCAAGTGGAAAAAGGATCCCGATATCCAACAAGAGATTGAGACTGCCCTCACCAAGGGCTCTAAGGGAATGTACGATGAATTCAAAGTTCTCTTGTTTCTTAGTCTGATCTTCATTTAGGTTCCGTTGGGCTGCATGCCAGCTAGACACGCTCGGAAGGTGCCTCAATCGATCACTTTTGCGGAAAACACTCAAAACATTACCATCCACCCTGGACAAGACCTACGAACGCATCTTGGGGAGCATCAGCGATGAATATGCTGAATACGCTATCTGCATTCTACAGTGGTTAGCGTTCTCAGAACGTCCACTATCAGTAGAAGAGCTTGCAGAAGTGATCGCAATTGACGTGTCACGCGATCCAGAATTTGATAGAGACGAAGTGCTAGAAGACCCCATGGACGTACTGAGAATTTGCTCTAGTTTGGTTTCCATCACAGCAGCTCCTGGGTTGAATCTCTCGCGTGTATTAAGGACGCCAAGCATAACACTACCGAAGAGAGAAGTCCCAGTAAGACAGATCATTATGCTTGCACATTATTCTGTCAAAGAATATCTCATCTCGGACCGGGTAAAGCGAGGCCAGGCAGCGCGTTATAGCTTACAGGCCGCAACGTGTCACGGCGCCATGGCTGTGGCATGTCTCGGTTACCTTAACCAATTTCAGGAGCCCGAGCTCCTGTCAGAGCAAACATTGGAGAAATTCAAGTTAGCAAGTTACTCTGCGAGATTCTGGAGTGAACATGCCCGAAAGGCAGGAGATCAAGAAGCAGAAGTGGCCAGATTTGTTTGTCGACTGTTGTCTATGGATAATCCTGCGTACTTCAGTTGGATCCAAATAATTGAGGGTGACTTTTTCTGGTTTGACCCATCTTTTGAGAGCATAAAGAGTATTGTACCTACCCCGCTATACTGTGCATCACTTCTCGGTCTGGATACAGTTGTAGAGCAATTTCTCACCCAGAATTCGGACCCTAACGCACGAGGCGGAACGTATGGTAACGCACTGCAAGCTGCTTCGGTTAGAGGCCATGATAATATTGTCAAATTGCTACTTAGTGCTGGCGCCGATGTTAACGCACAGGATGGACAGTTTACTAACGCACTACAAGCTGCTTCGGTTAGAGGCTATGAGAATATTGTCAAATTACTACTTAGTGCTGGCGCCGATGTCAACGCAAAGAGTGGGCGATTTGATAACGCACTGCAAGCTGCTTCGGTT